ATGATCTACTCAGGTCCTTTCCAACCCTAGAAACTATGAAAGGTTACTAGCCACTGTTCTCCCCAAGAGCAGCTAGCTCCACAAAGGCAGGAAGTGGACATTTTGAAAGAGGGCATCTTAAAATCATAATATCATAAAGGAAGTAGGGCAGGAAGGGACCTCACTAGGTCATCTAGTACAACCCCCTGCTCAAGGCACAATCATCTCTCACTAAATCATCCAGACCAAGTGTCTGCCCAACCTGCTCTTTAAAATGTAAAGGGACAATGAATCCAAAACGTCTTTCAGTAGCTTGTTTCAATGTTTGACCATGCTCAGTCAGAAAGTTCCTCCTAATCTCTAACTTAAAATTTCTCTGCTGCAGCCTGAGGCCATTGGTCCTAGTTCTGTCCATGCAGCCACAGAGAAAAGCCCATTTCCCGTCAGGTATTTGAAGACTGTTATCAAATACTGCTTCAGCTTTTTCCATAGACTAAATAGCCCTAGCTCTTTCAGCCTTTCCTCCTAAGCAGAGATATGGGTTTTCCATTCGCTGCAGAATAACACAGATTTTCTCCTTTAGAGAAGAAAATTACAGATTTCTCCTTTAAAGGAGAAAAATGTGAGAAACCACTGGTTTCTCCTTGCAGGCTAGCAGTTTCCACTGGCAAGGGGCTGCTTGGGACTGGCAAGGGGAGTGGGGAAGTGTGATCGGAGACAGGAAGCACCACGTGCACGCGTATGTTCACGTGCATGTGACAGCGAAGCAGCAGTGGCGAGGAGCTCCTGCAGCTCCCTCCAGGTAACTCTATGGGAGTGCAGAGAGAGGGGACATAGGCAATGTGTTGGGGGGGCAGAGAGTCGAGAGGGGACATAGGCAACACACTGGGGGGTAAGAAGCCACAGGCAATGCAGTGAAGGGGGCCCAAGGCAATGTGATGGCGGGTAGGGGTAGTATGTGTCCACAAAATTTCTGTGCCACAGCGCCACCATGGCCACCAAGCTGAGACATGGCAGTGGCATATGGGCAGGTAGGGGGCACCTCAGCTTGGCAGCGTGGTGCTTCCTCCCACACCTGGTCCCACCCACTGGGCTGCAGAAGTGGCCCCTGCCTGGAGCTGGTCTGGCCTGGCTGCAGCCACACACCTCACTATGGGTACAGAAATCTGGATGGCCAGACTGGCATGCCCCTCCTCACCATATCACCTGTCCCCCTGCCTGTCTGCACCCCCCATGTGTCACCTGTGCCCACACCCCCCCTTTCCTGCAC